AATACTGCCGCATACACCACTACGCTGTACTTATCTTCCAATGAAGTGAAACCTGATGTTACCGCTGCTTCAAATCCGGATTTGGATTCCTTGATAAATGTATCTGAAGCACATAATGTGAAGTTGAACGCGAGTCCAGTGCATTGTTTTTCGGGCCGAAGCTCACACGTAATCTAGCCAGTTCCTTAATCGACATTATTTTGGGTGGGGAAAACATTCCATAAAAAATGAAACAAAAAACCTCGGACTCTGGTTAGACAATGAATTGAGGTTCACAAAACATGTCAATCAACCCTCAAAAAACTTTATCCAAATAGATAATTCATGAGTTCCGCTCTGAAAATTCGTGTTTGTGAATTCCTCATATTATCGAAACTGGCTTAGGTACTGTGACTACATTTATGGACCAGCGCTTCTGAGTGTGGACAGTAGTCGACTTCAAAAAAATACAGAACTCTTTTATTAGACTCCTTCGGAATACGCAAATATGAGCACGTAAGTCATAAATATCGGAAATGCGAAAACTGAAATTGCTAGATATGAGAAAATTACATCTATTAAATATACTCATAAAGTACTGAAATATAGGACATCAACATATTTATATGACAAACTAATCAAAATAGGGAATCTGAGTGATCATAACACTCGTAACTCGGGGTTACTGGCAATGTACAAACATAAAACCTCCATTTTCAGCGATCCTTCACGTACAATGCCTGTAAGTTCTATAATCAACTTCCGCATGATTATAGTACATATAGTCTGATGAACTTCAAAAAAAGTTGAAATCCCTATTAGCAACTCAATATGATTAACAGATGCCGAACTCTGCATCTACAGAACGAATAATGACCAGTCAATCACTTTATAAATTCAATGTACTAATAGAATTATACTCATCGTAGATATTATAGCTAAGATAATTAACAAAATTGTAAAGTGACACTTCGCCACTTCATCTTAATTGAATAACTGTTATTGTTATCTCTTTACATGTGTGTTCAAAGATGAATAAATACGATTTATTATTATCATTACTATTATTATATCATCATAATAAAATTGTTCATTCATCAGGAAGTAAAGCAAATTTCTTCATTTCGAAGAGAAATCGAAGTTTCATCATCGAGACTTACCCCCTTCCAAATCACGTTCCAAAATTTATATGATTTTTGTAAAAGATAAACAATCACATGAATAAATATATGACATGACTATTCAAGTAATACCACTCGATCAAATATCTCTGAAAAAATTTTCAAGTATAAAATTTTTGTTTCGTAATATGAACTGCATTTTAATTTTGGAATTAATTTTCAAATCGACCTAAGAAACAAGTTGGCATCAACACACGTACAGTCAGAATATGAAAACAGTCAGAAGAAAAATTAATTTTGCAAAATGATTGAGTTTGACGGTGATGCCAAATTCATATCAAATGTTAGTGACGCAACGATCAACATTTTTTCAAGAGTGTNAAAAAAATAAAGTTGCTAGGACTTTTTGATGGAAGTGGGAACGCCGCAATGCTGAAAATATTTTAGATCGATAGAACAGGAAAGGAAATGTGAGAGGTGAAATTTTCAGAAAAGTCATGCTTTGCGTTTTCCAGAAACGTCTAACCTACCATCGACCGTGAGTCACGCTGTATACTCATTGAAAAAATCGAAGAGCTTGGCATACTACTCCCACACGATAGTGTGAGGGATCTCTGTATCTGTAGAGTAGGGAGGGTGAGTGTAAGCCCACAGCACTTAGACTACATGTGACCCATTGTACATCCTCCCAAGGAATTGTTCTCCTAGGGTCCTAGGTCATCGTCTATCCTATCCTGTCCTTCACAGGAAGGTGGGCAGGTCACTGGGAGACATCTCCTTTATATCGGCAGGTGTAGGCCAAGACTCGCCGAACACACACTCTCTAATTGACGATAACTCCGGGCACTCGCATAGGACATGCCTAACAGTCTCATCTTTCTGTTCACACATCCTGCATCAATATGTGTCCACTAGCCCCATATTATGGAGGTGTTTCCTTAGTTGACAGTGGCCAGCCAGAAATCCTACTGGTAAGCGTAGATTTTCCTGGTCATCGCCAGATATTTCTTCGGCGCCAGCTTCCCAGGGTCGCCCAAGGTGATCCTGGCAATATTGCATCCTTTGAATCCATCCCATCTCTTCAGGGATTGAGCATGGATGTAACATTTGGCTAGTTCCACAATTGCCGAAGTCGTTAGGTCGTAGGTGCCACTGGGTCCTAAAATTCTTAGTCCATCCGCTTTCTTGGCTAATGAGTCGGCAATGCGATTACCTCTACTCCTTTCACGCCTTTCAACCTACCTCAGGAAAATGTTATTACCTACCGAGGCTTTGGCTAAGTCTTGGTGATACTTCAGTACTAGCCCTGAGGTTACACGTTGTCTGCTCAAGGCTAATAGGGTTTGTCTGCTGTTAGTGCAGATTGCTATGTTTTTTCCAGAAAGTCCTTTTCTGGTGATTTCTTCTGTAGCGATTGAGATACCAGCCAGTATTTTTTTGCTCCTATTTTTTCCCATTCCTTAGGCTTAGTGATCTGGAGTACACTCCATATCCTGAGCCTTCTTTGATTTTTAGTGTGAGGGATTTGTGGAATATTATTACTTTATGAAAATCTTTCATAATTAATGGAATCAGAAAGAGTTTAAATGATGAAGCACAATTTCTCAAATTTCGTGGAAAGATGGGTTGGGTCTGTTTAATGGGACAGAGCCTCTTAATAGTTATTTATGTATCAAGGGCATAAAATAGGCTTTTATGGACCGCAGCGTGTAAATAATTAATATGCATAGTTCCATAAAAGCAAATTACGCCCGAAAAACATACCTACAACAATTTATGCACGACCAGTATTTTTGATATTATGTAGTTAAATACCTTTTCATATCTAGAACACTGAATAAATATATCAAAGCTGCCATGAGGTTGTTTATTCGTATCATAGCAGTCAATTTTCGAAATAAGATTACATATATTGAAAGGATTATATTTTTAGGAGTGATTATTTTTGGGAAAGAAAGTTTTTGGCATTCTATTACTCCACCTTGATACGAAGGAAAAAGTGGGAATCTTCCATAGAAAGGAAGGAATCAATCAATTTTGAAAGTAGTAACTCTATACATAGATGTGTAGATCATGCAAAGACACAGACACAAACTGGAAGAAAAACCCCTTCTGAAACGGTCACTCTCATATATACATTGAATCACACGAAAGACAAATTCTTTCAGAACAAATAATTTTATATAAACACTGAATTATACAAAAAACAATATACAATATACAAATATACAATTCACTGAATGAATGGTAAAATTTCACTTTCGCCATAAGACACTTACCTTAGGGCATGATCTACACATCTATGTATATCGTTACTTCTTTCAAAATTGATTGCTCTCTTCCTTTCTTTGGAAGATTCCCACTTTCTCCTTTGTATCAAGATTCTCACTTTTTTTTTGTATCAAGATGGAGTAGTAGAAAGCCAAATTACACAGAGGGTGTGCTTCTTGCCTATTTTCTGAAGAAATCTAAATATCGTAAGCCTCTTCCATGTGGTCATATTATTCCATGCTGGAAGCTACGTTAAGTGTCCATGATGATAGAGATATCAGTTGATGCGCAAGATTGATAACTTTTTATGAGTTACCTATAAGTACAATAGTGATATTGATAGTCTGATGATGGTGGTTGATGGATTCTCGACTCGAAATGTGCACTCTTATATAATTCAGATATATGTTTCAATAATTTTGCATTTATTGAAACTATCGGAATATAGAATTTCTATTGATATGATATTGAAATTTACTTTAGCGCCTGATCAACGATTGTTCACTCCCGCCGGGCGATAAAGTAGTCCGCGGGCGCTAAAGTGCTTTTTTACGTCCGCAAATCCGGGCCCAGTCTTCAAGAGGAAGATCGAGATCAAGATCTTCCTTTTGAAGATGATCACTTGGTGATCGAAACACGTGTCGAGATGTTAAAATAACGGTTTGGTGTTGGGAAAAAAACTCCAGTAATGTTCTTCTTTGGAGTATTGTTCTCATGTATTGAGCTCTGCCCCTAAGCATACCCTAAAGCTGCTGAATTCCATCCAGAAAAGAGCCATCCGCCTGATTGGAGACGCGAACATAACTTGCAATCTGGAACATCGAAGAAAGGTTGGAGATTTGTCTCTCTTCTTTAGATACTTTCACAGGAAGTGTTCAATTGACCTGGCACATTTGATTCCACCAAGAGCGGTACATATCGGGAATACATATCGGGAACTTCACTGTTCAAGATCCCTCTCATTTGTAGAACTGCATTTATGTGTAATAATTTTTCTAAGAACGTTTTTCCAAGTGAATTCAATCTCCAGCGATTCAAATCCAATGTGAATCACTACTTTCGCACAGGCACCGCTCTTATAGCGGATTTTCCTGTAGTGCTTGTGTTTTGACGTTAGAAAAATGGTGGTAATTCTGGAGTATTGAGGTAATTCAAATGTCTGCCTTATCAAATGTCGATGGTAGATTTTGTGGTTGTAACGGGTAAGAAAGAATAAAAGTTTGATTCCGGAGAGTTTGATTTCCGGAAGTTTGATTTCCGAAATTGGTACCTTCCAAGGAAGCTACCAATTCCGGAAATTGCTGGAAAAAATATTTGTTTTCAATTTGAACCGATTATGGACAATGGACCAATCGAAATTATTCAATCCTGGCGATCCAGATAAGGATGAGAGATAAACTTATGAAATTATTGTATTGTCACCGACTGTACAAAGTTTGAAAAAATCTGTCCAAAGTTACAAACAAGCATAAAGTGAAGCTAATAAAAGCGTGTTAAAAAATTGACCTTTTTGAGTTTTCATTGACCCACACAGTATACAATGTTATTTATATCATGTACACTTCACTATATATTTTGATAGACATTGAGACGTTTTCTCCGCATATAAGTTCAGAAAAAAACACAAAGAAATCATTACACATTGTTTATTAATGTAATCATTTGTATTTTGGTATAAAATATCCTTCCCTCTCATTCCAACGATATCACAGATATAAAGTTTATAGACTTTTCAGTTCAAAACCATGTAAATATAACTTCAAAAATAGTAGCGGAATTCAACAATCATTTTGAATACTTTCCATATTATGTGATAACAATGTTACTTCATGGCTTCAGGAACTTTTCAGTCTCAAACTTAATCGCCCTATTTGCTATCAAATTACTTTTAGAAGTTCGTCTCTTGCGGAAAAATAAAAATATTAAAATTATACCCACAATGAACAAAACTATAGAAAAAATAATTTGCAGCACTGGCATTATGATAACTTGGGAGTACACAAGCGCCTGGATATACCAAGGAATCCCCATTTGAATCTGAAAATATAAATACAGTAAGTACCAATAAGTGAGATGAAAACTAGAAAAAACTCACATATTCGATCCATACAAGTGGAATTGAGAGGTTACTGAACTTTTTGACTTTGTCGTTGAATCCGTTCATGTTTTTCACAACTAAGTTGATTTGAGACCTCGCCGCCCCATTCAAAGGAACTCCAGTTCTCTGAAAAATTATGATTTGGTTTATATATCAGAAACGTATAAGACAAAATGTCAAAACTTCACAGACTGCACTAAACATAGTGAAACTGACTCTCAACTCAAAATAGTATGATGATCAAATTTTCTTTGGTCAATTTGTTTTTTTCTGTATCTGAAGAGCAACATATATTTCTACCTTACTTTCAAATATTTTTATTTGAACTTTGAATACAGTTTGTAGCTACATATCTTCATCCAATATATAAAAATGAAGTGCTGTTCGTGGATCTCGCTAAAACTCGAGAACGGCTGGACCAATTTGTCTCATTTCGGTTTTGAATTATTTGTGGAAGTCCAGAGAAGGTTTAAAAGGTGAGTAAATATAAAAAAAAATAAAATAATAAAATAACTGAAGAACGGCTGGGCCAATTTTTATGATTTTTGGATTTGTCTTCATCGGGAATGGGATAATAAGTATTGAAATATTACATTTTATCAAAGAAAATAATGTTAATTACTAATTGGAGTCTAATTGGTTTATAATTTGCAATAACTTTTCGGGGAGAACTTTTCAGCTTGCCCTTCATTGCATTTCAGCAGTTTCTGTACTTTATTTTTCAGATTGTGGAGGATCATATACCCAAAAAAACGGTAGAAAACAGTGTTTGATTTTGAAATTCTGTGTCATGTTCACTTTTATTATTATTTATATTCAATTTTAGTTCAATAAAATCTCCACAAATATTTGTATAGGAAAAATTAACCTGCCATATTACCTGATTACATAATAACTTCTTTATCTCATAAACATAATAATCTTGTTCAATGATTTTTATTAAAAATTCATAAGTTCTAAATGATAAGTAAGGAAATTTGCACGTGAATATTTTATTTTACCTTGTATTTCTTATATACATTGATCCGCAATATATACTTAACAAACACCGACCATAAAATAAAACAAGTCACATGGTAATGTTAATCAGTACTTACTCATAAAACATAATAACGATACACCTAAATGCCGACTGATTATTAACTGATACGTATAATGAAGTGTGTTCTGGAATTAACGCCAACATAACAAAAAGGCAATTTGAATTGATTGAAAATTTTCCGTACGGGCTCTAGGTACAGTTTGCGGTCTTTTTGAGAAAACTATTAAAACTATGAAAGATAAGGGTTGAATTTTAACATTGGTAACATTGAAAACGATGGTATTGATAGAAATATATTTTTTGTTATAATGCTTATAACATTGAAACATTTTATTTATTACAAGGAGCTTACATGTATTTTATGAATAGGAACGAAAACATGCAATCACTTAACAAATATCAACACAATATGAAAAAATACGATGACTCTGTAGACCATGTACACATCTTTATAAAACAAATACAACCAAAGATATACTGAAATTATACATATACAATCGTAACCATGTATTGATTGAATTCATTATGACATGAGTCCAACAAATTCAAACAATATATTTGAAATGCAAAGTATAAAAAGTATAAAAAATGAAAGCAAACGCTTTATTCAATATTTTTGCAGTAAACAACGAGTAATTTAAACAGTTGATTTGATAGGAAATATATTGTCTTAAAATGGAAACAAGTGTAACAAATTGAAGAATTAACTGTCTTGAACAAATTAATTTCCAACAATATTTCACTAATCACAAACTAATTCATTTACAACACATAGCAACTAACACTTTATTCATTTCCACTATTTGAATTTCTTGTTTAGCCACTCGATTCACTTCCTGAACTGCTCTCTTGGGTCGGGAAGCCGTGCTTATATCGGTAACGGTCCTTTCTAAAAATCTGTAGGCGGCTCGGTTCTAGAGTTTTACCGGCGATTCTCGACTGCATTCTTTAGCGGTGATGTCATGTGTTTGTTCGCTGAGAAGTCTCCAAGAACACCAAATTTCATGAATGAGTCTTAATTTTCAGGGCCAACTTTTATTATTTTTAATATTGAAAATCGAGAAAAATTATTAGCAACTTTCATTTGAGAGAATTTAACCGCATGGAAATTTGAAATTTTATTTCATAATTACGTCGACATGCAATCGTTCCTCATTGAAAAAATTATAAGGGAATAAAATTTGAAAATTACACCATTGATGTTTGTCTGAAAGTGTACCCTATTAGATATATGAATATGAATTAGATTTATGAATTGGTGTACTGCATCTCCTAAAGACGCCAACTTGGTTTGTAAAACACGCATCGAGAAAAGTGTTGCATTTCTGGTGTGTGGAAACAGTACGTGTTTTGGATTCATTCCACGCCAGATGTTTCAGTTCTATCTTTCTTATTGTTCAGTATCAACCAGTTCCGAAATCAATAAGAAAGATGTCTAAAACGATATGGGTCATTATGTTGGAGTGACAAAAAATTGTTATGATTTTCTACTTTTTTTTCCTCACTTTCAAATAATAACTTTCCATGCCTAATTAAGTTTCTTTTGTGTGCCTCATAAAAGCAAAATATACTGTGAAACTTGCATATAACAAATATAATGAAAACGCTGTTTCACTAATTACTGGATTTAAAAATAACGTTTATGAGAACTTTTTTCCCAAGTCTTAAAGAAGTTTCTGAAAAGTCGCAGTTATANATTTTTATAGGATATCTTCTTAAAAGAATTAATCTGTTGAATAAAAACATCTTGTAACAAGAAATTTTTTGAGTTGCTTTTTGAAAGTCAATATAACGAAGAACAGTTTTTCAATTCATTTGGTTATTTATTAAATGCACGTAAGCCATTATTAGCAGGAGAGCAGAAATGTACTCTATTTTTACAAATAGGTATTTGGAAGTGATTTTGAGAACGAGTATTCACTTTATGTATATCAGAATTCTTCACAAAAATGTCTCTATTCTTGAAAATATAGAGACATAATTCAAAAATATATAACGATGGAAGTGTTAAGATTTCATATAGGCACATTCTTGATGCACCTGATAATTTTTTTTATGCAATGAAAACTTCCTGAGTCGTGGTTGACCATCCCCAGAAACAAACACCATATCGGGTTTTGTATAAATTTTTGATGGTTGTGAAACCTAAGATATTGTGTCTTATCCACATTGAAGAATAATGAGTTGTTATATGACCATGTAGCCAATGATCGGATCAGCTCATTACAACGTGTTCCGAGCATTTCATCAGAATGATCTGACACAAGTACAGAGATATCATCTGCATACATTGTAACNGTTACAAATGTCTGCTAATTTGATATAGTTTGAATCATTTTTATGAGAATCGAGATTGAAATCTACACCTAACACGAATAAAGTGTTAGGTTTATAAAGTAAATCTAACACACTTTCTATATTTTCAGAAAACACACTCAAATTTCCAGAAGGAGATCTATGGAAGCTTAAAATATACAATAAAACATTTTTTGAGAGTAACACAGATACGCCACATATTTCAAAATCCTTTTCAAAACAAAATCCATCAAGTGGCAGTTTCTTCGATAAAATATTATTTTTAAGCCAAACACAGGTACCTCCCCCTCGAAAAGTGGATCTGCTAGCGTTGTCAGCAAGATAAAGACCGTCAATACTATATTGAGGAATAGAATGACTACTTTCCCAAATTTCATTAAAACAAATGAATTTTAGATTATCATAATTCTGAATGTCAATTGTAAGATCAATAATTTTTCCAATACTCAAACTCCCCATATTAACGCATAAAAAATCTGAATTGAAAACTAAATTTCTGGATTCTTTCTCGTCCCTAAATATAAAAAACGTCGCATACATGCATCCTCCGGCCATACCGACGGGTCCATCGCCTTGTCAAAGTTTTTTTCGTAGATTCGAGCTTTGAAAGGTGAGTATAGAGTCGGATGTCTGGACTGGATTTGCTCACATACTACTTCTGGAAAATTAGGTTTCAGAAAATCAGTCAAACATTTGGCATCTATTGACGGATCTATCCTGTAAACGTGCAAGTCAATTTGTTTCGGCACTCCCTTAACAAACTGAGATGTTGTTGAATTATTCCCAACTACTAAGGGAGTTTTTTGGGATTTGATATTTTGTTTATATTCTACGGTTTTCCACTCTCCCTGTATGTTATTATCTAATTTCATAGATTCTGTATCGCAATTGATGTTTATATATTTTTCAGCTATCAATTTTGTTTGCTCCTGCATCACACCGAGAACAACATCCTTTTTATTCACTGTTTGGAAATTCCCACAGCTGTTTTCAGAGGTCGACACGTTTTTTGCATCGGGTGGTTTTTTGTTCTGTGACTTTAATTTTTGTTGGTCGCAGTTGTTTATATTTTTTTTACGTGTCTCATCCGTTTTTTGTAGTGGTAGTATTTGTTGGATTGACTTCACTCAACAACTCAATATGATTATTAAGTAAAACTATTTGTTTGTTTGAGTTTTATGAGTTACGACTTTTAACAGACCCAGGCTAAAAGGCTAGAAAGCTAAAATTTTAAAGTTTAACTAAAGAAGTTAATGTATCATTCAAAATAAAACTTCTGAAACTGTATTGCTTTTAAATTTCACTTAACCTTTCTTTATAATCATTTCGAATTCATTTTTATATTAGGGAGGTATTTGAGTATTTAAAAAATAGAGGCCTATAAAAAAACATAGTTGACAACAAAAAAGTAAAAATAACAGTTATTGTTGGTATGATTACCTGATTCTGCTGTGACATTTTAATTTTTATTTGTTTCAAGTCAAATTTTCGTTTCATATATTTCAAAATTGTAAATATATCCACGTGATATTTTAATAATATATTGAAACGTAGGATGTGAATTGCTTCTTTGCGCCACATTAAACAATGAATAATTATTCATTCATGATGTTCAACAACAAATTCGGTTTATTTGTTATCCGGTAACTAAATAACTAGCAAAATGTAAAAGATCTGTCAGAGTTGAGTGTATTCATTTCGTACAGAGATGAATTTTATACCTACAGCTGGAATTATCTGATACTTAACATAAAGTCAATACTGAAGTGGC